GCAGCGGGGTCCCTTCCTTCCAGCTCTGCTCCTCCAGACTCACTAAGGATAGTGGGTTCTAACTGGGCCTGGCCCCGACCTCGGGGGCGGCCAGGGGACATGGGCAAGGGAAGGCTTGTCCCAGCACAGCCCCTCTCCGGGGGCAGGCGGGACAAAGGCCCTCCCACCCGGACAGGCCACTGGGACAGGCCTCGGCCAGCGACATGAGGCCGGACAGTGGCTAACGTGTCCAGGCCAGTGTGCCGCGCGCGTCACGTCTCATTCCACAGCCCGTGACGTGGGCGCTCCTCCTGGTCATGCTCTACCGATGGGATGGAAGAGGGTCGGTACCGGCTCCAGGTTCCGCTGCAGGCAGGGGGCAGAGCTGGGGCTCGAAGCCCGGCTGCCTGGACCCCGAACCCACACTCGCCAGCACTGACTGCCGCTCAGAGTGTGGAAGACCCCCCCCATCTCAGAGCTGCCCCAGCCCCTCCCTGGGGCCCGTCAGGGGCAGGCGTTCTCTCCCGCAGGTGAAGTTGCTGGTTGTGGGTCAGGTGACGGCGGGCGGTGAGCTCCGCTGGCCGGGAGGCACGTGAGCGGAGTCGGGGGGCCACCGGGCACTGGTGCGGAGCAGGCCCCCATCCTCACGGGGGACGTGCACGGGGGAGGAGGAGTGATGAGTGAATGAACACGGTCTCTCTGGGGCAGCGGGAGCCCTCCTGCCTCCGGGCCTGGAGCGTGGGGAGTGGGAGCCATCTGGGACCCCGATGGTCCCACCTGTGGGGGCCTCACACGGGGAGGCCCTGGGCTGGGTGGTCCAAGCTGTTTGGAGAGTCGGGGAGCAGAGAGGTGGCGGCGGGGACTGGGGGCACGAGTGTGCTCGTGGGGAGTCCTGGAAGGGAGGGGCATGGCCCTGGGCCTCAGCCCCAGGCTCCCACCGCCAGGCCGGCCACACTCGGGGCCTCTGACGCCTGCTTTGGGGGAAGGAGGAAGTGGAAACCGGGACCTGGGCAGTGCAGGGCTCACTGGGAGCAGACGAGGAAAGGTTGGAAAGCTGGGGGTTGCCGGGGGGTGGGGTGTGGGGGGCGACTGGCAGAGGAGTGAGGTGGTAGCCGTTTTAACCGGGTTTGGAACATTCCCGGGAAGCGCCCCTCAGCCCCTGCAGCCCCCGCGCTCCTGAGTGGCTCCCCTGAGCTGACCCTGCCCCGGGGCCCAGCCAGCACCTGCTGCAGCTGGTGGCCTTGGGTGAACCCCTCTTGTGGACCAAAGAAGGTCAAGGCCCCGTTGATATGGGCCCGCCCGGCCCGGCTCCTTTGTCCCCGTATCTCTAATGCCACATCCCCCCTGGCAGGTGAGCACGCCTCCGCCTGGCCCGCTCTGCCCGCCTTCTCGGGTCCAATCTGATCTGACCTGTGCCCTGGCCTCCTGGGGGCCACCTGGGCCCGGCTGCTGCCCTGTGGCTGTGATGTCTGCTGACAGCGAGGGAGCTAGGCTGGGCGGGAGGGGGTTTAAAACGCGGTCCCGGGGCCTCCTGCTCTGATGGACAGAGCTGCTCTCACCGCCGCTGGGCGCCGGCCTTCCCTGCCCAGCGAGCCTGCGGCAACAGCAGCATCGGGGTCCTCATGCCCTGGCCTGGGTAGTGGGGGGGGGGGGGCGGGGGGGGCAAGGCCGTGAGCCCGAGTGGAAGCCTGTGCCACCTTCTCATGCCCTGCTCCCTGCCTTGCAGCACCCACTTTGGCTGGGTCCCTGAGTGCCCGACGAGCAGGGCACGGAAAGAGGCCGAGTGCTATGGGTCACTTAGAAAAAAGGGCTCTCGCCTCCAGGGGACACCTGGGAGGCCATCACGGAGGCGGCGGCATTCGAGCTGTTTTAATAATACTTAAATTGGAAGTTGCAGTCAGCCCAGGAGTGTGTCCCTCTTCCCCGGGGGAATCACATTCGCACAGGGATCGGAACATGGTGCAGAGGGGACGTTGGCAAGTGGCTGAGCACCCAAGCAGGCCCTCAGGGATGCGTGGGAAGGAGGCGGAGGCTTCTGAGCCTGGCTGGAGGCAACACCAGCCGTGCTCCCTGCCCGTCTCGGTGGTAAGGGGCTGCATTGTGCTCCCCAAATTCATGTGCAGGAGCCCTAACCCAGAGAACTCTGAATGCGATTGGACTTGGAGACGGGGTCCTTACTGTAAAGAGACTAAATGAGGTCACGAGGCTGGGCCCTCATCCACTGTGACTGATGTCCTTAGACCAGGGGGCGATTAGGACACAGGCACACAGAGGAGAGACCGGGGAAGGCCCGGGAGGAAGACAGCCGAACGCCAAGCGGCGAGGCTCAGGGAGCCGCCCTGCAGACGCCCACTCTCGGCTCTCCGGCCTCCAGAGCTGCGAGATAGTGGACTTCCGTGTGCCCATGCGCCCCTCGCCCGTCGCTGGCGTTTGTCTGGAGGCCGGGACACATGGCACAAGGGACGCAGCCGGCAGCGCCCTGGCTTCCTGCTTCGGCAGCACTGGGCTCGGTGTGGACCCAGGGCCTGCGTCTTCTTCACACTGAGCTCACGTGGCGTTCGGCCCCAAGCGCTCCCTGAGTGTCGCTGGGTTGCAGGCGCCAGTGCAGCCCCGGGGCCGGCCGCTCAGAGAACAAGACAGCAGACCCAGCGCTGTCTCCCTGGTGTCCACTCCGGGCAGGAGACAGACAGTCACAGGAGAGAGGGGCCACACAGTGGGCGCCGTGCGGTGCGGGGCAGCGAGAGCGAGGAGGGACAGGGAGCGCTGGGGGGCTGGCATTTCGGGGAGAGGACCAGAGGGCCCCCCGAGGGCCATTAGGGTGCAGGTCTGAAGGGGGATGGGAGATGTGTGTGCTCGCGGCCCACAGTTTGGGCTGCACTTCTGACCAGTTTATTCATTTATTTATTTTTTTGGTGACATTTTGCATCTTTCTACGAAATAGCACTGCACGGCAGGCAATCATTACTTCTTAATTTGGTTACCGCTTGCGTTCAGTGCTTCTGTGTGTCGGTTTCAGGCGTACACGGGCTGCCCTTTTCTTTATATGGTGCTGAACAAACTCAGAAAGAATCTGGTGGCCTTGTGGAACTACAGGATTACGATTTCCTTCAAGGTCGCAAACCTGGGACACAGCTAAGGCAAAAGCCCACAAGTGCTCCAAACAAGGAAGAAGAGTTAAAAGTGCTCCCAGTAGAAACCGCTTTCTTGAGAAGCGCCAGGGGCATGTTCTTAGCCCTGGGATTGGTCCAGGATCGGGACCCGTCGGACGCCAGGCAGCCAGGATGCCAGATGCCAGACGGTCCGGAATGGAAGGCGGGTGCCAGGAGGTCTGATCACCGCCGGTGACGATGGCAGGGGTCTGGGTGCCCGAGTCCGTCCAGGGGTGATCGGAGGGTCATCGGGCGGCCTGGTCTATCCAGGCGTGGACACAGGACTGGAAGGCCCAGGCTAGTTGGGACAGGAATGCAATCTTTCTCATGCCCCAACCTGTATAATGTTAGTAATTTTAGTAGCTTGGTGACAGCGACTCCATTTTATATAGTCCCTATCTTCACACTTTTCTTAATGGACATAGCCCACATTTATCACTTTTTTAAAAAATATATATTTTTTAAATTGATTTCAGGGAGGAAGGGAGAGGGAGAGAGAGATAGAAACATCAAACATGAGAGAGAATCATGCATCGGCTGCCTCCTGCACAATCTCTCCTGGGGATCAAGTCCGTAACCCGGGCATGTGTCCTTGACTGGAGTCGAACTTGGGACCCTTCAGTCTGCAAGCTGACTCTCCATCCACTGAGCCAAACCAGCAAGGGATGGTCACACTAAGAGTCAGAAATAGATTCCTTCCTGGTGATGATTTCCCTGATGTTAGAAACTAGGGTGGTCGCCAACTGTTACGAGTACAAATAGATTTCGTGGGAAAATATTTATAGCTCAATATATCGATCTCTATTTAGGTATGGAATCGCCATATTGTTTCCTACCGCGGCCGCACCACGGGACACTCACAAAACAGGACACGGGTTCCAGGTCTCACCAGCCCGGGCTGATGTGTGTGTTTTGCCAGTGGCCACCCTCCCAGGCGTGAAGGGAGAGCTCATGGTCGTTTTCATTTGCGTTTTCCTGGTGACTAATGAGGGAGGAGCTGATCTTGTCTCAGAATTACAGAATAGAAAACAGATGTCTGAGATGAGCTGACCTAAGGTCACAGGACTGGTCACAGGCCTGTATTTTTTGAGGCCCTACTGTGTGCCTGGTACGTACACGTCAGAGCTGGGACCTGAACCCGGACCGAGAGCCCCGGGCTGTGCCGGCCTGCCCTGCGCTGCCCTGTCTTCCAGGGGCTTCGCAAACCTGTAACCCTGCTGTTTCGGATTCTGCCCTTTTCTCCTAATGTCATGTTACATGACCTCTCAGCATCCAATGTTCCCAAACACGACTGTGAGGGGTGGCGGAGGCGGCGGGGCAGCCACAAATTCTTCTACCACCTACAGCAGCGGTCGCCAACCGGTGGTCCGCGGAGCGCAGCTGGTCCGTGAGGTCCGAAAGGTTGGCGACCGCTGTGTCCTACAGCATCTCTCACTTCTGGGGCCGCCTCTACCCAGCTGCAGCCAGCGGTTCTGGAGGAAACTGTCAATCACCATCCACAGCGCGGGGGCCGGGTGGCCAAGTGGAGCCCATCACAGTGCCCCATGCCCTGGCCACATGATTGGTCCAGGGCTGGACACTTGACGTGAGGTGGACCAATCAGACCCCTCCCTGATGCTCTGCTCATTTCCAAGCCTTAAGGATGTCAAGGGCCGGGGCAGGGGCGGCAGGGCCCTTCACCTGGAGGAGGCTGCCGAGAGAACGCTGGCAGGAGAAGAGCATCAGAGACGACGGAAGGGACAGAGGCCGGGGTGGGGGGGAGAGGGAGCTGGTGGGTGTGGATTTCTTGGGCGCAGCCCCCGAGCTCCGCGGACCTGCTGTGGTTCCGCATCCTGGGCCCGGCGTCCTTCCAGGGAGCGTCCTTTCCGACTGAGCCGGCTGGAGGTGGTTCCCGCCCTGGTGGTCCGGACTGGATCCCAGAACCCTGCCTGACTGACGCACTTCCCAGGCCCAGGCAGAGGCACCACTCGTTTTAGCGCCATTGAAATGAGACCGTTTATTAAAAATCAATATGTTAAAAAAAATCAATGTTTTTATGACTTTTTAGAGGGAGAGAGAGAAACATCGATGGACTGCCCATTGCATGCCCCCTCCTGGGGACCGAGCCTGCAACCCCCGGGGCATGTGCCCTGACCAGGAATCAAACCAGTGACCATTGAGAATAGGGGTCGGCAAAGCCCCAGACACAGCTGTAGCCGGGTCCCCTGGGCGGGGACGCAGGGAGTGTGTGCGAGTCCTGGGGCGGGCCCGGTGGCCTCCCGGAGCAGCGCCCTCGTCTACACCACCGCAGGGGCCAAGCCGATCCTGTTGTTGGCGCGATCGAAGACGGTGAAATAGAGTCGTAGGAACACATCCCCCAGGATCCAGAGGCTGGAGCTGCCTGAGGTGTCGATGTCCAAGTTGCTGAAGCAGATGTCGGTCCGCTCCTGGAGGGGAAGGACGTGTAGCCCTCAGCTGCGCCCTCACCGCCCGCCACCCCATGGCACACCGCCAGGGGCCTTCAGGGCTTAGAGCAGCGGTTCTCAACCTGTGGGTCGCGACCCCTTTGGCAGTCGAACGGCCCTTTCACAGGGGTCGCCTAAGACCATCCTGCATATCAGATATTTACCTGACGATTCATCACAGTATCAACATGACAGTTATGAAGGAGCAACGAAGATAATGTTATGGTTGGGTCACAACATGAGGAACTGTATTTAGGGGGCCAGAAGGTTGAGAACCACTGGCTGAGAGGCTTCCAGTTGCTCTCTCCGTGGCTGCCCCACGCCCTCTCGGCACGCCGTGGGCACCGGCGCTTCTGGAGCCCGGTCACTGCGCAGCTTTATTCATGTCAGCGTCTAACCGCCCTGGGTACCCCATTTCACAGTCAGGGAATTGGGGCCTAGGAGGGGGCGTTTGCACCCCGGGACTAGGGTGACCTTATGATTTATCACCCAAATCAGAACACTTCGAGATGGGAAGGGAATACAGCCCATGATTACGGGGGGCCACTGGGGCTGTCCCCAGCCAGCCCTAGGGTCCCTCCTCTTTGCCTGTCTCCGGGGTTACCGCCTACATTACAGCCCAGGGGTCAGAGCGCCCCGGTTGACCTGACGCTGCCTGAGGGCGAGGCCATTAGCGCCCCCTCCTGGAGCCGGCACGGAGCGGGCATGGTGGCCGCTCCGCATTTCCCTGAGGCTGATGGATGCCCCAGACACCCTACTGTCAAGAGGCTTGTGCTATGGGAGGCGCCCTCCCAGCCAGGGCTGCTGGGCAGCACCTGCAATGGCACGGCCTGGCCTCCAGGGGGCCTCTCTGAGCCACGGCCACACAGGTCCCTCCAGCCCCAGTTCTGAGAACCAGCCCCCAGGGCAGCCCCTCACCCTCCGGATGTAGGCGCTGGCTGGCACTGGGTATGTGACATTGTTTATGGTGAAGACGATGTCAGGCAGGCTCTGGACGTCATCGCAGCTGACGACGTACTGTGTGAGAGAGAGGGAGGGGGGGTTGGCCCCGGGGGTCCTTTGTGTGTGGGGAACCCAGGGTGACCCCGGGGCGTGACCCCTCACCTCGCCGGTGCTGGTGGTCCAGGTGTGGATGTTCTTCAGAATGTTGAGGACGGGGTCGAGTGGGCCAATCACCAGCGAGGTCCCGGTATCCACAATGGCCTGGCAGCCGCCGGGACAGGCCACGACTGTCCCGTTCATGGAGATGCTGAGGGACAAAGCAGGCGCCAGGGTCACCCGTGGCCTCTCCCCCGCGGCCCTCCCAGCTGCCTGCAGAACAGCCTGCAGCTCCTGCCGTCCTGTCTCCCTGTGTCGGCCACACCGACCTTCCTGGACGGACTTCCTCGCAGGTCTTGAATGCATTGTGCTCCCGGTGCCTCAGGGCCTTGGCACGTGCCATCACCCTTCCTGGACCCACCCTGTCCCCTTTGTCTGGCTGATTCCTCCTGTCCTCCAGGGTCCGGATCAGTCGCTACTTTTCCAGGGAAGTGTCCCCCAGAGGAGATCAGGCCCCTCTCCTCCCCAGACTGGACGGCAAACCCTCCTGGTGTCCAGCGCGCACGGGCTGGGGACTCCCGATGGCTGCGACACTGTCCCTCACGTGTGTCTGCCCTGCTCGTCGGGAGAGCAAGCTGTGCCCTGCGTGCCCCCTCCAGTGCCCGTGCCCAGCGCACAGCGCATGCTCCACTGTTTGCCGAGGGAATGGCAGGGCACGAGAAGGAATGAGGGTCAACTGGAGACACGGACCTGCTGTCCGGCCAGTGATGAAAGCCACACGGTAAAGACGGAGTTCCCGCGGAGCAGAGGCTCGGAGAGGAAGCAGGGAGTGTGTTGTTCCCCCCTGGCCTCGTGACCCCCCTACCCCCAGGCCCGTGGCCGGGGGATGCCTGGGCCGGCCCAGGGCGCGGGGCGTGGGCTCCGGAGCACAGTTTAGGCCTCTGTCTGACAGTATCACGGGGCCCCCTCAGTGATCGCCCCTAGCCTCAGCCACCCCAGTCCCCGTTCCTGGTGTCGGAGACGCAGGCCCAATCCCGGTTCTCTGGTCAGGACCCTGGTCAGGGCAGTTATGAACCCGTGGTGGGGTGCGTGCCTGTGTCTGTCTGAGTGTGTGCGTGTGCCCTGTGCCTGCAGGTGCGGCTGCCACTGGCGTGGCCCTCAGTGGGGGGGCGGGGGGAGGGGTGCTTACCTGTCCACAGTGATCTGCCAGAAGCCCTGCGTGCTCACCGGCACCCACTGGAGCTCGCCCCGGTAGTAGGAGTGATCCACGCCACCGAACATCACCACGCTGCCCTTCTCCTTGTTGCTGGGAGAGAGGGGGGGCGGGAGGAGAGGGGGCTCTTGTGAGGGGAGGACGGTGGGTGGCGCTTCTCCAGCTCAGTGACCGAGGCTGGCACTGGCCAGCGGCCACTTAGCCACACTGCGCAGGGCCCCGTGGAGCAGGCACTGCTGTGACGCCCACTGTTCAGAAGGGACCTGGGGCAGGGGCACTGAGCACGGCCCAAGGTCAGTCCCCTGGCTACTGAGGAGCACAGCCGAGCTGTGAACTTGAGATTCTGGCTGGGCTTGGGCTAGAATGTCAACATGTTGGGCTTTGCCGGCCACGCGATCTCTATCCCAAGTGCTCGATGCTGCCATTGTAGCGCAGAAGCAGCTGCAGACAGGATGTGACTTAAAGAGCAGGGCTGTGTTCCAATAAAACTTTATTTATAAAAGCAGGTGGCGGGCCACAGGTGGCCGAGGGCCACTAGTTGCTGACCTCTCGACTAGGCTGCCCCTCAGGAAAGAGGGGAGGCCCGGTCATCTACCATTTCTCAGGCGATGGAAGGCATCTGGGCAAAGGGCCTGCCCAGCCAGGCTGACCTGCTCAGGTGGGAGGAGGCTGACCTGCTCAGGGGGGAGGGGGCTGACCTGCTCAGGGGGGAGGAGGCTGACCTGCTCAGGTGGGAGGGGGCTGACCTGCTCAGGGAGGAGGGGGCTGACCTGCTCAGGGAGGAGGGGGCTGCCCTGCTCAGGTGGGAGGAGGCTGACCTGCTCAGATGGGAGGGGGCTGACCTGCTCAAGTGGGAGGAGGCTGACCTGCTCAGGTCGGAGGAGGCTGACCTGCTCAGGTCGGAGGAGGCTGACCTGCTCAGGGAGGAGGAGGCTGACCTGCTCAGGGAGGAGGGGGCTGACCTGCTCAGGGAGGAGGAGGTTGACCTGCTCAGGGGGGAAGGGGCTGACCTGCTCAGGGAGGAGGAGGCTGACCTGCTCAGGGGGGAGGGGGCTGACCTGCTCAGGGAGGAGGGGGCTGACCTGCTCAGGGGCGAGGGGGCTGCCCTGCTCAGGGAGGAGGAGGCTGACCTGCTCAGGGGGGAGGGGGCTGACCTGCTCAGGAAGGAGGGGGCTGACCTGCTCAGGGAGGAGGGGGCTGACCTGCTCAGGTAGAAGGCGAAGAGGTTCTCAGGCAGGAGGCCTTGCTTCCACAGGCTGTCGAAGACCGGGGTGGTGTCCTTGAGGGCGAGGGTGGGGTAGGCCAGGCCCAGTATGCCGTCGAAGGCGGCAAACTCCAAGGCAATGCCGGACTCTGTCGTGCTCAGGCCGAATGCCTGGGATTTGCAGACAAGGTCCCCGACCTGGGGGGAGAGGGTGGCCTCATGGGAAGGTTTGGGACGTGGAGCTGGGGCTGGGCCTGGGGGAGGTGTGTGGGGCGATGCCACCAGCACCCCAGGGATCAGCTGAGGTGTGGCTGCGCCTGGAGGTGCCCGAGCAGCACCCACTGTGCTTTGCCGAGGAGTCCCCCTGACACCCGCCCTCCTGCTAGCACCACCCCGGGTGGTGAAACACCCTCATCCCTCTGTACGGCTGGGGCGCCGGGGGCAGAGTGGGCCAGGCGGTTCCCCCGCAGGCCCCATGAGCAGAGCGCGGGGTCGTCTTGTGTTTGGCGTTCCGGGATCTGGTGGCAGAACCCGAGTGAATTCCCTGCGATTCACTGTGGATTCTGCACCCCAGGTGTACACAGGGCCGCCGAGTTCCTGTGAAAAGACTGCGTGGAGCCCTGGCCGCTTTGCTCAGTGACTAGAGCGCCGGCCTGTGGACTGAAGGGTCCCGGGTTAAATTCCGGTCAAGGGCACATGCACAGGTTGTGGGCTCGATCCATGGGGGGGGGGTGCAGGAGGCAGCTGATCCATGATTTTCTCTCCTCATTGATGTTTCTACCTCTCTCTCCCTCTCCCTTCCTCTCTGAAATTAATAAAAATATATATTTTTAAAAAATAAATAAAACTGGGTTTGCGCTCACCTCTCCTTGCTCCCAGCAAAATCAGCCTTCAGCTCACCACGGGGCAAGAGCTGCAAATGCCCGCCTCCCGTGCCATGACCCGCTCGCTGGGTTGGCCACTCGGGGCGCTCTCAGCCGGGCACTGTCTCCCCGAGGCAGACGGCCAGCCGCTGGGGGACTTGAGGTTTGTCCCCGTAAGCAGTGGGCAGAGGTCGCCAGGCCCCACCCCCACTCACCCGCACGTCGTCGTAGCCGAGCAGCCCGGTCATGCTGCCGGACCCGTACAGCAGCCAGATGGGCCGGTCCGCGTCCTGGAAGGTGGACGACTCCCGAGGTTTGAAGGTTTTGTGTGTCACTGCAGACGGAGTGCAGGGGTCAGTCAGCTCTCAGGGCCTGGGGCAGGGGTGGGAGCAGGGGCGGGAGCCGCAACAGGGCCCAGGCACTCACCACAGGCGGGACTGGAGCAGTAGATGGAGGGCACCCACAAGTCCGCTGAGCCAGTGTCAAAGACGACCTTGAACTTCTGAGGGGGCGTTCCAATGCTGATGATGCCAACGTAGTATATCTGCCGGCGGGGGCGGGGGTTAGGCCAGCCCTTGCGCCCCGGTCACGCCTGGTCCCCAGGTGCCGGCCTTGACCAGGGCGTCCCGGGTCTGCTGGAATCGCTTTCCCACCACCCCACCTCCATGGCCGCGGCTCAGGTGGCGCCTTCATTGGAAAAGTTTCCCACTTTCTCCTGCAGCTCTGTGAATCCACAGCCTTCACGGCCCGCTGGAGTGCTCCCTCCTCCGGGAAGCCCTCCTAGGTCACCCAGGCCCCTGACTCCCAACTCAGCGCCGGTTGTGTCACTATCACACTGGCGGCCCTTTAATTGGCGTTTATCTTCTTGCAGAACAGGCCAGACCCCCTGTGATCCACAGCCGTAACCACACCGTTGGTGTTAATAGCCTCCCACGCTGGAGGGGCTCAGGCACTCTGCTGGGGTCATTCTCGGGGCTGTGGAGGCTGAGCGCCCTCGGCCTGGGGCGTCCAACTGGAGTCCCCGTTAAGGCAGCGGTTTTGTTCAGAAGGAGCAGAATCTGTCCAACCAGCACCTGGTTCTCGGGTGCCCAGCGCCGGATCCTGGGCACCGAGATGGAGTCTGCCTGCCTCCTGGTCATTGCTGGGCCAGACACCACAGACCAAGAGCTGAGGGTGCGAGTGCCTTCTCCCCTTTGCTGCCTGCAGGAGCCCCGCCCCCACCTCCTGGCTGCCACCCCGGGTGGACCCCAGTGCTCGGCCAGCACTAGGGAAGGCTGTGCCTGCGCCCCCACACTCACGTCCAGGTAGTTCCTCATGGGTTCGACGGTGACGCGCGGCTGGCGCAGGAGCTTGTTGGCCCGGCTGTGGGCGTACCGCTGGAGGTGGTCTCTCAGCAGGTCCCTCTCCCGCAGGCTCTCCCGCATGGACTTGATCTTCGTCAGAGGGACGCTTCCAGCGGGAAAAGACAAGAAGTAAGACAGCAGCTCTCCACCCGCCGTTCCACGTGGCCACCGCGCCTGGCGGTGGAGCCGCACCGTCTTTTCCGAGGATTTCACAAGCCATCTGATGAGGGCGGGCGCCCAACCAACGCAGGGAAAGGCCGGACCATGGGCCCAGGTCTGACCACAGGGCGGGTTGCAGCCTCAGGGAGGCCACAGGCCCGTGCGGAGCCTCCGTTTCCCCATCGTAAAGAAGTGGGGTGACAGCAGGCCTCCCATGGCGGGTTTGGGGCTTTGAGGGCGAGGATGGACCGAAGGCCCCTGACGGAGGGACCTGGACCTGGAGCCCGTGCTGTCGCATCGTCATCTCACCGGCTCCCTCTCCAGGACGCCCTGGCGGGAGCGGAGCGGGATCCCTCCTGTTACTGGAGGAACCTGAAAGGCAGGGGGTGCGTGACCTGGCTGTGGCCACCTGCTCCTTCAGGCAAAACTGGGCCCCGGAGGGTCCCTCCGGCCCTTCTCCAGGGTCAAGCGGAGGGGAGGCTGGAGGCGGGCAGGACGCGGGAGATGGGGAAGACATTAGGGAAATCCAGAGGGCGGAGGAGCAGGCAAAAACCAAAACAGAGGGGAACCCACGCGTTCTGCACCTACAGAGACATCGGAGGAGACGGGGAGACAGGGGAGAGACACAGAGGTGGAGACACGGGCCCACGGAGACGAGGGAGAGCGGGGAGGAGACCGAGCAGCAAATGGGAGGGAAATGCTGTCCCCTGACCAGACCAGCCTTACAGCCGCCCAGGGGGTGCCCTGAGCAATCCTGGGGGCACCGTCTGCACAGGGGCAGCCTGGCGCTGTGGAACCCCCAGACCTGCCCCAGGACCCCTGGCCCCACAGTGCACGTGGCAAGCTACTCATCAGTACATGGAGACCTGGCCCTGGCCGGTGTGGCTCAGTGGACAGAGCGTCCACCTGCGGACCGAAGGGTCCCGGGTTCGATTCCAGTCAAGGGCACGGACCTCGGTTGCAGGCTCCTCCCCGGCCCAGTTCCTGGTGGGGGCTCGTGCAGGAGGCAGCCCATCGATGTCTTTCTCTCACATCGATGTTTCTCCCTGTCTTTCCCTCTCTCTTTCCCTCTCCCTAAAAATCAATGGGAAAATATCCTCAGGTGAGGATTTATAAAAATTAAAATTAAAACTAATTGCAGATGCGGACGTGACGACAGGGAATGATTGCATTCCCTTCTCCCCCCCTGGGCGGTGGAAGGATCAGGGGACAGTGAGAGCGAGGCCGGGACAGGTGTCCCCATACTCACGTCACCAGGCACTCGGACAGGGCCACCAGGCTGAGGAACCCGATCCACCTCATTGTGCGTTCTCCCGCGTCACGTCCTCCGGAAGGCTCGGTGCGGAGGGTGCGGCGAGGGGCCAGCGCTGCCCATATATGCGCTCTGACCTGCGCCCGATCCCCTGGGAGGGCTGCTGATGGTCCCGATAAAAAACTAACCTCCCGATAAGATCTTTATTCCCATCAGCTTCCGGATCGGGGGGAGAGGGGGAAGGACTTAGAAAAATTCGGAATACAGAGATCTCTATCGTCATCTCCTCCTTGGGGCATGGCTGGGGGACAAGCCCAAACCACGTGACCTCAGTGAGAGTGGGGAGATGCGTGCTGGCCTGGAGGGAAAGCTCGCTCATCATGTCATAAAGTGAGTGCTGGCGACCACGCTTGGCATCCTTGGTCTCATGTCCTCCTCGTAGCCACCCTGTGAGCTGCGCATCGGGGAGGAGCGTGCTGGGAGGATTGGGGGTCCCCCGGCAGAGGGAAGACGGCAAGGAGCCCACTGGCGTAGGAGTGGCTTTAGGTGATGGCAGCGTGCAGGCCAGGCCGGGGCCCCTGAGCTCAAGGCCCAGAGAAAAGGAGACGGAGTGGACGGCTGGGCGGCTGCGTGGGCTCGGGCAGCCCATGCCCCGTCCCCAAGGGCAGCCCCCGCTCGGCTCGGACGGCGTAGGATGCGGGCCGGTCGGCCAAGCTTTCAAGGGGAGTCTGAAGTCTGCACATTGATGTGGACTCCCCTGATTTTTAAATGTTAGCAACTAATTAAAAAAAATTTTTCCCCAAAATAATCCAGCAGCTGGGGGCTGGATGCAGCTTTTCTTTCTGGCCCAGAGGTGGGCGTGCAGGGCCGGGGGGTGTTCCATTCATGGCCGAGTGGCTAAGAGGCGGAAACCCTCGACCCTGTCAACCTTCCCTCGCGGGTGAGAGAACACCCCCCGCGTCCGACACCCCGACGGACGGAGTAGCTGCCCCTCGCGAGCCCCGAGGGAGCCCCCGGCAGGCCCCGGCCTTGGAGCGAGCTTGTCTGCCAAACCAGACCACGAAGGAGTAGCCCCTTTGAAAGGGTCTCACCGTCCGGGAAGGCGCAGGCCGGCCCAGAGCTCAGCTCCGCCTGAGGCACAGGCTGCCCAGCACCGGCCACCTTCCAGCCGGGCCAGGAGAAGGGCGTGTCTGCTTCCTCCCAGGCCCCGGGGCCGCGTGAGAGCCACCCAGGTCTGTCCCCAGCACGGAGGCCGGCCTCGCCCCAGGCTGAGGTGGCAGGTGGTGGGGGCTCTGTCCTACCCTCCCCGTGACACATTAAAAGTCAGTTTGGTGGATTTGACCCCCATGGAGGGGATGTGACCCAACTGGGTGTAACGCAGATGGAAAGAGGAATGAAGGGGCCGAATCTCTAGGGTACTGATTCGTTTTTTAAGAGGGGACAGCCGAAACCGGTTTGGCTCAGTGGATAGAGCGTCGGCTTGCGGACTGAGGGGTCCCGGGTTCGATTCCGGTCAAGGGCATGTACCTGGGGTGCGGGCACATCCCCAGTGGGAGATGTGCAGGAGGCAGCTGATCGATGTTTCTCTCTCATCGATGTTTCTAACTCTCTATCTCTCTCCCTTCCTCTCTGTAAAAAATCAATAAAATATATAAAAAAAAAAAAGAGGGGACAGTCCTGGACGGTGGTGCTCAGTGGTTAGAGCAACCAAAGGGCCGAGGGTTCGATTCTCGGTCAAGGGCACGTACCTCAGTTGCAGGTTCCACCTCTGGTTCCAGTTGGGGTGCGTACAGGAGGCAACCAATCGATGTGTCTCTCTCATGTCGATGTTTCCCTGCCCCCCCCACTCTCTTCCCCCCGCCCCTCCACTCTCTAGAAAAGCAATGGAAAAAATGTCCTCTGTGAGGATCTAAAAATAAAGAAAAAGAGGCAGAGCAGTGTTTGCGCTGCTTTCACACACGCCCAGACGCATCCACATCCATGTATGTTTCCCATCAGAAGCCATGAGGCGTGACCCAAACACGAGTAACAACTGTAACTCCAGGTGAGGGGCACGGATGGAAGTGAGGTGCTTCTTGTTTTATGTTCGACTTTGCAGCCGTGTAAATGTGCTACGGGATCAAGCAAATAAACACGGAAACCCCCACCCACCCCCACCCCCCGAGACCAGGAAGGGCGGATGGACGAGAAAAGAGCCACCGTGTCTGCAGGGGCTTTGCCCAAACCTCAGCCGCCTGGCCGGGCTGAGCCCGCGATTTCACACCGTGGGCGCCTCGCGGACCCGGCAGGCCTCCTTCCACGGGACCTGGGCCTCCTGGAGGGATCTGAGACGAGGGCGGCCGGCAGTTCTCAGCGGGCAGGGGTTTGCAGTCTGAAGCATTTCTTTGGGCATTTCCATCCCAGTGGCCTGTGTTCCTAAACTGGGAGCAGACCGTCTGCCGATGACCTGTATTCCTGCGCTGGGAAACAGGGATATTTGAGTGGAGAAATCGCTTCTCTGGATAGATAAGCAATTAAGAGATTTTAAAAAATCACAACCCTCAAAATAGAGAATGCACGAAAACCAATGGGCCTGATTGTATCGAGCTGGCGCCATCGCCATGCAGAGCAAAGCATGACCTTGAGGGGCTTTAAAGCGACTCTATATTCACAGCCAGATATTTTCCGGGGACAAAACAAACAAAAAAACAAAGAAAACAAACAAGAAACCTGAACCTGGCGGGGCAGCTCAGTGCGGGCGCTGCTGCTCCAGTGGCCCGGAGACTCGGAACCGTGTGCTGCGGGTGAACGCGGCGAAGTCTCTGTGCGAATGCTGTGACGGCGCAAGGCTTTGCGGGGGGGGGGGGGGGGGGGGGGGGGGAGATGCCGGTATCAAACACAAAGGGAATAAAACCCCGCAATCTTAAACCTGAATTGGAAATATAGGTCTGTGCTCACTACTTTCTAAAAATACCTGTTTCCCAGCTCAGGACTCTGAAAAGCCCCGCAGCGACGAACACCTGGTCACAGGGAGTAGCCTGAGGCCGGGAGTGTGACCTCCCTCACTTTCCTGCCGGAGGGCGCTGGGATTCCAGGCCACGTGCGCCCACGGCGTCCCCCGGGACCAGGTGGTAACGGCGACATGGGCTCGGGCATCGGTGCTCAGCGGCTCCCGCTGGCCAGGAATAGGCCAGTGTGAGCATCGCCTCTCATCGCTTGGGACAGATGAACCATAAGAAGCCACGCATTCCCCGTGACACACAGCAGCTGGGCCGTCAGGGTGGGAGACGGCAGCCGGCCGCCGAGAGAGGCAGGGAGGGGCTGGTGGAGGGGCGCATGGAAGAATGCCAGCAGCTACAGGCGGGTGGGGGGGGGGGGGCCGTGGCGGCACTGGGAAAGGCCTGCCCCGCCCCACCCCCACCCCGAGGGCAGCCCTGGGTCTGGCACAGCCCGTCAGCGGATGCTGAGCCCAGGATGGCAGCCGCAGGGAGGTTCATGGTGAATGGGGTGCGGGCCTCACCCCGAGCAGCCGTGCGGTGGCAGCCAGGGAGGCTGTGCCCCTCAAGGGCTGCGGTGGGAATGTGTGGCTCCACCGAGAGGCGGTCCAAGGAGACCGGCCCACCCCAGGGCTGGCCTCACGGCCCGCTTCCGGCACCGCACAGCTCTGCCGCGTCAGCCTCTCTCCGCTCATGGCGCATAAACTGATTGCCGCAGCTCCGCGGCCCCGGAGTAGACATTTGTGCTGATCTGACATAAAAACACAGGCATGGTTTTGACTCATTCACAACGATGGCTATTGCGTTGGCTGTTGTTTTGTAATCTGACCCCCTAGGAAAAGCGGCCAGTGCTCCTGAAATGGTAATACTTAGTCAGGTTCTGCACTTTTGCCAGGGGGGGGGGGGGTGCGGGGGGAGGGCGTTGCACATTTTACACGTTCCTGTGGCGCCGGGTGGCAATCGCTGACAGAGATAAAGGCGCAAGGAAGCAATCATTTAAAAGCATCACTGGAGACATTTCTTCAGGACAAATGACACCCCCCCCCCCCACACACACACCTTTCAAACAAGGAAATGCCATAAAAAGGGGAGGGGGAGGCTGCTACTTATTATAAATCTTAAGAACCAACAACCAAATGCGACATATGTGTCCATTGTCTAGCTCAACCTGTGGGTCGCGACCCCCTTTGCCGGTCGAACGGCCCTTTCACAGGGGTCGCCTAAGACCACCGGAAAACACACCTATAATTACATATTGTTGTTGTGATTAATCGCGATGCTTTAATTGTGTTCAATGTGTAACAATGAAATTGGGGGTCACCGCAACATGAGGAGCTGTGTTAAAGGGTCGCGGCATTAGGAAGGTTGAGAACCGCTGGTCTAGACCCTGACGGGAATAAATAAACTGTTCAAAGGCATTTTTTGAGAGAGTCAGAAAGACTCCAGCCTGGACTAGAGCTCAGGTGAGATGGAAGGCGTCAGTTTTGTTGGGGATGAAGTAGCAACGGGGTCTATACAGGGTGCCCCCCTACATGTATACGCGCATTGACAGCGGGTAGCTCCGTTTGGAAAACGAAATGCACTTTGATAAACGCCGCCGCCTTTATCATTAACGCGTGTGCGTGCGTTTGGGGCGACACCTGTGTGTTTTGTGAAATGATGACCTCTGCCTGATACGATCACAGCAAAAATGAATGAAGGATAAAACCTTGTAAGGGGGGGTCTAGCGCAGCGGTTCTCCACCTTCTGGCCCTTTCAATACAGCTCCTCATGTGGTGAGCCAACCATAAAATTATTTCCGTTGCTCCTTCATCACTGTCATGTTGCTCCTGTGATGAATCATCATGTAAATATCTGATATGCAGGATGGTCTGAGGCGACCCCTGTGAAAGGATCGTTCGGCCGCCAAAGGGGTCGCGACTCACGGGCTGAGAACGGCTGGTCCAGAGAAAACAGATGTGCATAACTGCTGCGCTTCAAACTGAGTCCGCCCTCAAATGCATACGCTGGAGCCTCAGTCCCAATAGGATGGGATGCGGCGATGGGCCCCTGGAGGTGATTGGGTTGAGGTGAGGTCACGAGGGTGCCTGCCCCTGCCCCCCGCGATGTGAGGCAGTGAGAGACGGCTGGGTGCAGCTGACGCCCAGCAGGGCGGTTCGTGGGGAGTGGGGAGCGGGCCTGCCCCAGCAGCAGGTGTGCAGGGGCAGCCGGCCTCGGGCCCAGGGCAGCCTGGGGGAGAGAAAGAAAGTAGTCGCTTTTGATGCTAAATGATAAAACAGAGCACTTGCGATGCTCTTTGTTCTGAAAGCGCTTATGTTTGAAGTGATAAGAGGTTTAAACACTGTAATTTTGGGGTTAGTTTCTGTCGTTATCGATGCCCCAAGGGGCCCAAGCAGAGTGTACGAGACAGCCTCCACGGCCAGGCACACCCGCCCATTTCCCGGCTCCTCCTGCAAACCGGACCCGCCACCCCCGGGGCTGTGTCCGATGTTGGGGAGCCACGTCAG